TCTAATAAACAAAATAAGATAAAAAGTAGAAATATAAACCTTGACATTACGAAATCATGTTGATATTTATTATTAATTGCAATTATACCGACTTAAATAACTTTATATAGTTTTATTCAAATAAAACGAATTGCAATGAATCATGAAAGTAAGGCAATATAAACGGTTAATACCAAATTCCCTAATGTTAAATAAACTGCTCGTCATAAAAATGGATGCACCTAGTTTTTTGGAAAATATTTGAAAGCTTGTTATTAGAAACTTACTGAATCCATTTTGAAAATCTTTGGAAATTCTGAATAGCTGATTCTTTGACTCTTATGTCTAATTTTGGGAATACGATATTTTGCACATAGCATTTTACTACAGGGTGTTAAACGAAGAGATGTATTTTTTCCGAAATTTCAAGTTATTCCCATTCATGAGGCAGTTGAGTTTGATAGTCGTAATACCCCTCCCTAATATAAGTAAGGTAATCCCTCGGAACGTTTTCGAGATTTTGTGAATATCGCGGCTTACTACGATTATATGCCAACTTTTCGAAAATTGTCGTTACTTCCCAGTTTAGTCCAAAAAATGAGCATTGTGGATTTTTTGACTTACGTCTAATTTTGAGAATACGATATTGTGCACATAGCATTATACTACAGGGTGTTAAAAAAGGAAAAATCAGCCCTATTCAGCAAGTCTTGTTTAAAATGCGCTGGTTTGGTGCAAGACTATCTTAAGTCCATTTTCAAAGAATTGGAGAAAAACACTATTAAAAATTTCTATTTATTGTAACTAAATTGTTTTTTGCATAATTTGTATTTATTTATTAATCTTTGTATGTAAAACTTTCCAATTTTTAAAAGAATGACACTAAAAACAATTTAGTTACAATAAATAGAAATGTTTAATAGTGTTTTTCTCGAATTCTTTGAAAATAGACTTGGGATAGTCTTGCACCAAACCAGCGAATGTAGGAAACAGATATACACAAATTATTTTACCCCACTGTGCGAAGATCGTTCGTTTGTCACTGACACATAGAGATGTAAAAAAACGGTTTTTTTTTCAAAATGAAATATTGAGTAAAATATATATTAATAATAAAGTGAAATGTAGAATATATTAAATTTTTTCATTATTGAAAATTTTGACCGAGACTAAAAAATCTGATTTCTTATTATTTGGTAGTTTCCACATTAGAAACCAGTAGCAATGTAAAACTTCTACACCAATACAAAAAATTAAAGGATAAAAAAAATTGTTTTGCGATTCTTCGGATAGCTGTATCTTTGTTAAAAATGGTCATATTGGAGCCGTAAAAAAAGCAATTTGAAGCTTGAAGTTTCTAGTTTTGCGATTTTTAGATGAAAAATGTGCAACGCTCAATCCTAACAATTGCCGTAATAAAAAAAAATGATTTTTTTTGGCTTTCTGGTCTACGGAATGTTCTGACTTAACCACCAATGAATAAATGTTCTACATGAATTTGAAAAATCATGAAAAAAAGTGCATTTGGTAGCACTTTAAAAAAATCAAGCGCTGAATCAAAAATATTATGTAGTTACTTTTTTTAGGACCAAATCAAAACATTGGTCAATTCGGTGGTGGTAGCGCGAGACTGTATTTACATTTACTAATTGTCATTTAGTGTCTAATTTTAGTCCATGAAACCTAAAAAATTAGGCAAATGGGACTAATCTTGAAAAAAAACCTAAAATGTGAAAAAAAACAATGAAAAAAAACCTGAAAAAAAAAACAAAAACAACGGACCGTTTTTTTTCAAGTCGCATCTCTACTGACACAGATACCTTTTTACAATAATTTTAAAATATTTAAAATCCAAAGCCTTTACGGATAACTGTAAAGCATTAAAAAACTTAATACAATAATAATTTGTGGAGTTTTGAGTTCTTTGAAGTCTTAAGTTTTTTAGACACATATTGGACGTATTATAATTATGTTCATGTGGATAACACTGTAGGTAAATTTAACTCTTGAAATATCACAGCTAAACGCTCGGACACGTATACATAGTGATGTAAAATACCCAGGTATTTACCCGGGTATTTACCCAAATAGGGTATTTACCCGGGTATTTACCCAAATAGGGTATTTATAGGGGTATTTCGATTTAAATCTTGCATAAAAATAGCTTGAAATCAATAAATAGTTTTATTCAATATAGTGAAGTATACTGTAGTAGTACCTACCTTAGATCTTAGATAATATTATTTAAAACTTGGTTTTTTGAATTTTTCACATAAATTTTGAGGTTATGTAAAAAAATTGTAATTACAAAAGTTGTAGATCCTTTTATTACCTACAACTTTGCTTTTTAACTTTTTTCCATAGGACTTGTAGTTTTGCCGGAAATCGAGATAAACCATTTTTTACCCTTAAAACCCCCCCTCCCACTTCCCGAAGTCAGATCGCCCGTAATTTATTTTTCCTTTTATTTTTATTATATTCTTCTCCTTTTCCAATGGGTTTCATCCTACTGTTATTTTTTTTGGTTTCAAAAATTATCGACCCTGGTCTGCATTTCAACAATTAAGCGGTTTTCCACGATTAAGTGCGTTCAGAGACAATTCTAGTACGTTTACGTTTATATGGTTTAATAGGGAAGTTTAATATTATTTAAAGTATAAATAATAACGCATTTATCAAAAATACCCAGTTTTGGGTAGGTAAATAAAATTTGGGTATTTACCCAGGTATTTACCCAAATTTTATTTACCTACCCACTGGGTATTTACCCTATCTACATCACTACGTATACATAATTTTTATTCGTAGATTCCAAATCCGTGCTCGGTTGTATCAGGTCTAAAAAAGTTTTTCCTATCAGAAGTCTGATCCAGGGACACACTGTATACTGGTAAATTTTAAAATAATATATTTCACCTCTTGTGCCAACATTCCTATGTTTTTTATTTCAATAAACATAATATCCTCAATTATACTCAATAACAAAAAAATTTGCAAAAAAACATTTTGAATTTCCTAAATTATCTATAAAAAACTCTCAGGGACCCCTGTTCCTTTTGATCAATTAACTTCAAATTTTGCAATAATTTCTTTTTTTTTTAAATTTGGAACTAATGTGAGGATTCAGCCAAATTAATTTTTTAATATTTATACAGGGTGTTTTTAATATCTTTGAATTTTGACCTGATACAGCTAAACCAAGCACGGATTTGTAATCTACGACCAAAAATTAAGTTTACGTGTCCGAGCGTTTAGCTGTGATATTTTCGTAAGTAATATCATAAGGGCATCTAATTTTTCCGAAAAAAATCGAAAAAACACGTTGCTAAGTAATATTTTAACAAGATGCATGAGTGCTGGTGGCAACAAAAATCCGAGTCGAAGAGGAGGATTTTTGCACCTGCACGAATGCATTTTGTTAAAAAATATTACTTAGCATTGTGTTTTTCGATTTTTTTTACAGGAAAAATTAGATGCCCGAATGGTATTTGACAAGACTATTTCATGAGTAACAGTTAACAATTAAAATATAAATTGCAATTTTTGGTGACAACAGCGGGTAAACTCGAAAAAACTGCTGACAGGTGCTGTCACACAGTTTTTTCACCTAGAAACCATTTGTAATTCAAAATTGCCCGTTTGTGATTGGTGGAAATTAAGACGAGGGAAATAGTCACCCCTATACAGTGTAATAGATGTTTATGTTTTTCTTTATTTAGATAACATTCAAATATACAAGGTGTCTCGAAAATACACGTGTTTTCTAAAGACAAAAATAGGAAGAAATCTTCTTATAGGAAGTTACAGCCTCTTCAAGGGGCGCCCCTGAATATGTTTTTTAATTATTATTTCCGAAACAGTTTGAAATAAAATAATGAAATTTTGTAAGCTTACTTAATTTTTAGCCACAAATTTTTTGTGAAATTTTTTTTGCAAGTTGCACACACCATTTTCAAAAAAATTTCAATACTATATTATATTTAACAAGAAATAATAATAAAAAATATAAACGTTTCTTGAAAATACATTATTTTATCTCAAGAAATATTATTTCGGAAATAATAATAATAAAACATCTTCAGGGGCGCCCCTTTATGAGGATTATTTAGTGGTCATTTGCCAAACTAAGTTCATAAAAATTTTTCTTTCTATTTTTGGCTCTAAATGCTGCTTGTAGAGTATTACACACTATTTTCGGGACACCCTGTATACAAGCTGGTAAAAGCTGCCTTTTTGGCTTTCACAATCACGAAAAACTGAGTCTTTTTGTGCTGTTCTCAAAGTTTAAAGTGGAGGCCGAATGCATGCATTTGTTAAGGCTTTAAATAACCCAACCCGATTGGTCTAAATCATTTTTAAGTGCCTAGGCCATATACCAATTGAAGATAAATAATATACCAATTGAAGATAAATAATATACCAATTGAAGATAAATAATATACCAATAATATACCAATTGAAGATAAATAATATAGGTACAAATTGAAGATAAATAATTTATGTCGTCAATTTTTTTAACACTAAACTTTATGAAAAGTCGCCCTAAACTGCAACAATCTTTGATACAATTTTCGTATCCACAATTATTTGTATACGGAAATTGTATTAAAGATTGTTGCAGTTTATGGCAACTTTTTATATGGTTAGTGTTAAAAAAATTGACTTGACATTACACCTTCATAGAAAACTAAATAGGGTGGTTTGACCTCAGTTAGTTTGCCTATGTGTGCATGTTTTGTAACAAATACGTGTGCAATTATAATATTTATTAAATCATGTGAAAAAATCCTTGTTTACACACGAAGGAATTAAAACAAAAACAGAATTGTTTAGTGAGTTTTCAATTCGATGACTCTACCTACTATCCATATATGCATATGTTGTGTACATGTGGAATAAAAATCTTTTCAAATATAAACTGATTTAAATTGATTTTGAATTTATTATACTCTATTTTTAATAATAAAAAAAAGTTTATTACTAGCAATAACAAAAACTAAACTTGGTTTCCTCTTTTTCAGACTATGATAAACATGGCCTTTTGTTGGCTCATACTGGTTGGCAGGGTCGTTCAAAAGTTGGTTTTCGGGGAACTTCGCGTCTCCGAGCAGCAACATCTCAAGGATAAATTTTGGAACTTCATTTTTTATAAGTTCATTTTTGTATTTGGCGTCATAAACGTTCAGTACATTGACGAAGTACTGCTCTGGTGCTCATGGTTTGCTGTGCTGGGATTCCTGCACCTACTTTCGCAGCTTTGTACTGATAGATTTGAATATGTAAGTAAAAAATGTTTTTTTTTTTAATTTTTAGAATTCAAAACTTGTTCAGTATTAAAACCATGAATTTTTTTAGACTAAAGAACTTTTCAAGAGGCATAACTTAAAAAAATTTAAATGCCATACTTACGACCACTTTTGATTTGGCTGAATTTTGTTTATCTTTCTTTATCCCACTAAAAGTTAATAATAATAATAATCTTTATTTAGCATAAGCTATTTTACAACACATAAAAATATAAACAATTAATAAATATGACTGTGTACTGTCCGTTCAGGCTAAGTTGAGCGCTCTAAGGAATGTCACCCCGTCCATCATCTCTATGTTCAGGCACAATTAAATACATGTATTTCGGTATCCGCTCTGTACGAACAAACGGCAAGCCGCGGCACTGATAAATCATCTTCTTGTAACCGAAATCTCGCGACGATTCGATATTTAATTTAATCAACGGCCACATGATCCCCCACCAAAGCGCTCAACTTAGCCTGAACGGACTGTATGTAACTCAGCAATAAAGACTTAAACCTATTTATTTTATCACAGTTTTTAACATTATTTGGCAGATTATTGAACATGTTTAGCCCATTAACAAAAATATTTTTAGTAGTCTGGACTCGATTATATTTTTCTATATAAAAGTTTTGAGCATTTCTTGTTTGATGCTCATGAATACTCATGAATAGAGAGGGTATACCCTGACCAGTCTATTGTTCTAATCAACTAAACTAAATACGAATTTTTCAAAAAAATGACGATTTTTTTCAAATACTTTTAATCTACTAAATGGGACTTTTTAGAAAGAAATTATTTGATGTCAAATTCTATGAATTTTTTTCAGTTTTTTGATTTTTTTTTAAAGTTGGCCATTTTTAATTTTTTTTTCATGAAAAAACTTTGATTAATTCGGTGAATAATGCTGCTAAATCCAGTGTGGGCCGAATTTTAATTGAAAATAAAATTTTTTCCCAATTTAAGTAAATGGTTCAATGATATTTTACACTTAATTTATAATCTAACCTAATTACACTGTAGGGAGGTGAAAATATGATATTTAAAATATCACAGCTAAACCCTCGGACAGGTCAAAATTCAAAGATATTTAATTTTCAAGTTAAATCAGCCCATTAGGAAACACCCTGCATAAATTTAAAAAAATCAGTTCCAAATAAAAAAAAACAAATTCTTGCAAAATTTGAGGTTAAATGATCCAAAGGAACACGTGTCCCTGAGATTTTTTTTAGATAATTTAGAAAATTTAAAATGTTTTTTTGCTGATTTTTTTTATTTAGTATAATTGAGGATATATCATTTATAATATATTAAACGAAATAAATAGCAGAGAGCACAATAGGTGAAATATATTATTTTACAAATTATCAATATACAGTGTTTGACCCCGTATATATCGCATTGCCAATAGAAAAAACTTTTTTAGACCTGATACAGCTAAACCGAGCACGGATTTGGAATCTACGACCAAAAATTATGTTTACGTGTACCAGCGTTTAGCTGTGATATTTTAAGAGTTGAAAATTTGTTATTAATGATTATGATTTTATAGTTAATTGGATTAAAAACCAAACGATTTATTTTAATTATCCACAATTCACATATTACATAAGCATGATATTTATTATACTGGTTTGTGACCAAAGGTGGGCACGAGTACTAAAAAAAGTATTCGTAAAATTTTACGAGTTCTTAAAATATTTACTCGTAAGTACATTTGTAAAGAGAGGTTACGGTTACGAGTAGTAATCGTGAAAACACGAGTAAAGAGTACGAGTACTTTTGAAAAAAAAGTTAGTTAGTATAATTGATTATTCGATCTTTACTCTCTAAAAATGGATTAGTCAAAAATGACTAATTGTCATAGCGAAAAAGCAGCCACTAATAATTCTCGTCAATAGCAATTTGTATTTTTAACATTTATCATTTAATATCCATGTAAAATTTTTTCCTAAATCTGAAAATGTCATCAAAAGTTAGAAAAGTAGAACAGTTTTTGAGATATAGTCCATTTTCCATATAATATGGAATATCTAAAAAACTACTCCACTTTCATAATTTTTGACGGTATTTTTACTAATTTCCACCAATAACTGTGGTAATTAGTCATTTTTGACTAATTCATTTCTAGAGGGTGTACATTATACATACTGTGGTCCTGAGCTATAAAAATACAAATACAAATTTATAAAATTATTTATTTTAAACGTTATGTACAGGGTGATCCCCTATAATGTCGCCACCCTTTAACTTTTTTATTTTAAGTGTCCCAAAAATTTAAAAGTGTGGTTATGTAGGTACTAAAAATACTTTTTTCTACTTATAAAGAAAATTCAAAAATTGATCAGTATACAGGGAAAAACAAAAAGTTTATTTTTTTTCAATGGATCACCCTATATATGTATTTATTTTTTGATTCCTTGTAAAATTCATATAACATACCATATACCTAAATTCAACCGTTTCTGAAATATTTAAATTATTTTTAAGATAATAATTTGAAATAGTTTGTCTTTCTCTGTCTGAGTACGCCATTTTTACTTATTTAACAAAACATATTGACATAATGTAACTATAGTAACTTATTTTCAATACAAATTTTGGTATACTGAAGCTTCTTGATTTCTAACAGTTTAAAAAAACATTTATTGATAACATTTCGAATGCGAATATTTTAGAAACGGTTGAGTTTAGGTATATGGTTTGTTATATGAATTATGCTCAGAATTTTACAAGGAATCGAAAAATAAATTCATATATAGGGTGATCCATTGAAAAAAAATAAACTTTTTGTTTTTCCCTGTATATTGATCAATTTTTCATTTTTTAGAAAAAAAGTATTTTTTAGTACCTACAAAACCACACTTTTAAATTTTTTGGGACACTTAAAATAAAAAAGTTTAAGGGGGGCGACATTATAGAGGATCACCCTGTACATAAAATAATAACAATTCTTAAATAGTTTATAATTTTACCTATTTACTTGTTATTAAACCTATAGGCTATAATATATTATATTATACGATATATTATTATAAATTTATTATTTATTATTTAAAACAGACTTCCAAACAAAATGTTTTGATGCTTACAATATTTTGTCAAAAATTCATCGATATAATAAACGAAAATACTCGTATATATTACTCGTGAATTTCACGAGTATTTTTTACGAGTACATTGAATTTGGTTTGTAAGTACGAGTAATAAGTATTTCAAATGAAAAATACTAATTGAAATACGAGTAAAGGTACTCAGTACTTGGCCAGCTCTGTTTGTGACCCATTATAAAGGTAATAACACTCTAGTGTCCTATAATCCTTCGATAAGACACTAGTGTTGTATGACAATTGATAAAACAAAAAACGTCACTCGTATTTATTTATTTATATTTAATTTGCCACTTAAAATAAATAACTATGTTTGGCGTTTAAATAATTTACATATTTTATACTCATTAAAATTCATAAAATTTCGGACAAAAAGACAACCTTCTGTGTAATCCTTAATCATTAATTATAAGGTTAGATTTTAAATTAAATGTAAAATATCATAGAACAATGTCCATTTAGTACTTAATTTAAGTTTAATATGAAAATAAAAAAGTTTTTTAGTGAAAAAAATTGAAGGAAAAGTCGGCCCACTGTGGAAAAAGCGGCATTATTTGCAGGATAAATTAAAAAGTTAAAAAATGGCGATAAGTACATTCAAAATCAAAACATTAAGAAAAACGTCCCATTTGGTTAAGGGTATTTAAAAAAAGTCATTTTTTTTTAAAATTTGACGTGAAACGACCCTATATTTAATTGTGTCTGATAATATGTTTTCAAAATATTTTAAAATGTATTTTGTTTAAAGAAAAGTATATTTTTCATAAAGATTTATTTTTTTCAGCTTTCATTTTCACCGACAACTCCGATATGGCACCACGTGAAACTCATGTGCCTATTGGCTGCGATTTTAATGCTGTCTTGTTTTATGCTTTTGGTGTCAGTTTTTGTTGGATTTTTCGGAGGGATACACACATTTGCTTTCATGTCTGCAGAGGTAAGAAATTTTAATTGGAATCGCTATACTTTTTTACACTTTGACATATTGCTACTACTATAAGTACTAGTACTAGTACTAGTGTTGAAACGCGACTGCGGAAGTTCTGCACACTTTTTCACATCAGATTCTATATATGGTTTCGTATTTTTTAAATCAAAGGCTTATCGAAACTTTCTAGAAATAGCGAGATTGACGAATTGACTGAATGCACTGACGGCGCGAGTAGTGTGGGGCGCTAAATTACTGTTTATTAAACATAACTTGCCTTAATTAAATTTTGAATATAAATGTAATATAAAAATTGTTTTACTGTTTATTAAACATAACTTGTCTTAATTAAATTTTGAATATAAATGTAATATAAAAATTGTTTTTATAGTACTTTTACTTTAGCTTCTGCTATACTTTTTTCTGTTCCGCTTTCGCAAAATTTACTATTGTCTCTTTCCATTTCTGCTTCTTTTATGACTACTTCCGATGCATCACACTAAGTACTACTGGCGCGACAAGCGGCGCAATTCAACACTTTTTCTCAAACTGGTGTTTAACGCGTGTTTCATAAAAAAATGAAATAAAATATTTTACAGGAAAAGATTTTTGCAGTTTAGTTTAAAAATGTTAACTTTGCAGTTAATATTTTTTCACAGTAAGTAACTGTTTAATTTTTAAGCCTATTTTTAGTACCGAAATCAGCTTTGCAGTTAATATATTTTTAATTAGTTTTAAACCTATTTTTAATCCCGATATCGTTTTAAAGTTACCATGCGCTTGAGAATTGAGAATTTTCACGAGTTTCGATCACGCAAACCTAATCCAAGACATACTATACGAGTATTACATATTTCTCTATGATAATCATAACCTTAAACGTTTTCAAGAAAATGATTTCTAATTTCTGATCTGATTTTATTTTACCTAAATTTTTTGTTTCAAGAGAAATGGACCCTATTTTTAACAGAAATTAACCAAATTTTCAAATTTTACCATCAAAAACATGTTTTTTTTAACATTGGGGTTGTAGTATTTGGATGACATAATTCTTATGCACTATGAAGTTATTTTTGTTGCACAGAATTGGTAATGTGGGTTGGTTAACGTTCCTGTCTCAGGCTTTTGCATAAGATCATGTTTTATTTAAAAATCTTATGCATTTTTGATGAGAAAGTATTTTTTTAAACATTTATATCATAATGAATGTTGATTTTATATTGTCAGCAATTGTATCTTCTATATTCTATATACAGTGTTGGCCAAAATTTTTGCAACCACTGTAAAAAAAGAATCTAACTCTAAAAAGCCTTTATTATTCTTTATGAAATTTTTGGATAAAAATACTTCATCTTTACGTGTTTAAAGCCCTTTTGTTTAATAATAAAAGAACGTTCAAAAAATAACTTTAAATTTTTTTTAAGTAAATAAAAAATAAGCTGTTCAAGACCGTATTTTTATTAGTATGTACCCTGAAAATTTTGTACAAATCAAATTAACAGCAACGAAGATACAGCGATTCAAAGTCGTCAAAAATGACCACTTTTCAGCAAAATAATCAAAAAGGTGCCATTTTTACCGACTTTGAAGCGCTGTATCTTCGTTACTGTTCGTTTAATTTGAACAAAACGGTCTATAACAGCATATTTTTTATTTACTTTAAAAAAGGGCTTTACAAATATTTTCTCGAAAAACCCTCGAACTCGTTAACTGAGATATAAGTTGAAGTATTTTTATCCAAAATTTCATAAAGAATAATAAAGGCGTTTTAGATAAGTATAGATTTTTTTTACATTGGTTGCAATAATTATGGCCAACACTGTATATAAAAATGAATTGCCGTCTTGCAAAAACTCGGAATAGCGACCGATTAAATTTTGTTTTGTTTTGTTTGCCTTAATATAGGGGTGATTTAAAAAAAAAAATACATTAGGAAAAACCGAAAGAAACATCCGGAAAATCGAAAAAATCAAAATTCGTACAACTTTGGATTAATTTAAATAGATGGCGTTCGTAGCTACGCTTTAAATTAAACTCGGAAATGGCTCAACCGATTTATATATTTTTTTTGTTTTGTTTGCCTCAATACAGGGGTAATTTAAATAAAAAATACATTACGAAAAACCGAAAGGAATAGCCGGAAAATCGAAAATATCGAAATTCGTACAACTTTGAATTAATTCGAATAGATGGCGTTCGTAGTTGCGCTTCATATTAAATGAAAAAACATAACCACAAATTCATTCATTCATTCATTTTCGCCTCAATACAGGGGTGGTTAAAAAAACAGAAAGGAAAAGCCGGAAAATCGACTAAAGCTTAATTTTCATGTATCCGTTTGTCCGTCATCCGTATGTCAGTTTTTCAATAAAATCGTCCTATAAGAAATGTTCTAATTTTCATGCATACGTTTTTTAATGACGTTTAACGGATTGATTTTGCGACAAATAGAAATTAAGTGTAAGTATATTCACTTACTAAATTTACCTAATGCTTAATTGTCATAGTTACAATTATGTCAACAATTGTAACTTTAACAGTTAGCTGTCTAATAAATTTAAAGGTAGGTAAATATACCTTATAAAAAGAATATACTAGCCCTAATATACATTAAAATGTATAGTTTTAAAAAAGCAGGTCCTTTTAGTTCTAGTTTTAATTTTTTTTTGTTTGTCTTTTTTTCCGTTATTCTTATTAAATAAAAACTTAACAGTAAAACATTATTCACATAACGAACGTAATATTTCCGTTTTACAATCTTATTGAAAAAATATAAAAATATTTGAAAATAAATTATCTTAAAATAACGTTAGGCGTCAAAAACAGATGTGTAGTGACGGATGAGTTAAAATTATTTAACCCTTCTCTGTCAGACGTACAAAGTTGAAACTTGACGGACCGATAAAATGTCATAATTTTCGAATTATAATTGGACCAATAAGAGCGCTCCTGGATGAACGGACTGACGGACAAACGGATACATGAAAATTAAGCTTAAATCGAAATTTGTGCAACTTTGGATTAATTTGAATAGATGGCGTTCGTAGCTGCGCTTCAAATTAAATAACTATTAAACTCAGAAATGGCTCAACCGATTTAAATATTTTTTTTGTTCGCCTCAATTCAGGGGACGTTGTCAGAAGTATAGATTACACGCCTTTTTGGACGTTCATCATAACATAATGAACAATAATAATTACCAGTAATTCGTTTGAATAATAAAAAAATTGTTCATCATTTTCTTTAGATATTTTTCTCTATTTAAAGAAAGTAAATTATTTAATAATTATTAAAATTAAATATTAACAACGTTGGTAAATTCGTCATATTTGACAACATAGAAAAAGGTTGACAGCTTGTTGTTTTGTGTTTTCGTTTGTGTATTTCTATCGTGTTTAAGTTAATTATGGAGTTTAAATACATTATTTTTTAGTAAAAATAACAATACATGGAAATATCGTTTGTAAGTACCTACCTACTTATTATTTTTTTAATCCCAATACGTCACTGGAAGAAAACATAAAATTCTATCGCCAATTTAACGCTTAGACTGTGACCGTTTGTTGACGTCACTGGAAGAAAACATAAAATTCTATCTTCAATTTGACGCTTAGAGTGTGACCGTTTGTTGACCGCAAACAAAGCATTGTTATTGAATGGCAATGCGCCGTCCATTTGTTTTGGTGGTCTGTGGTAGCCGCGCTTCAAATTAAATGATAAAACATAACCACAAATTCATTCATTCATTCATTTTTGTTCGCCTCAATACAGGGGTGGTTAAAAAAAACATTAGGAAAAACAGAAAGGAACAGTCGGAAAATCGACAAAATCGAAATTTGTGTAACTTTGGATTTATTTAAATAGATGGTGTTCGTAGCTGCGCCTCAAATTAAATAACCGATATTTTGTTTTGTTTTGTTCGCCTCAATACAGGGGTAATAAAAAATACCGAAAGGAATAGCCGAAAAATCAAAAAAAATCGAAATTCGTAGAACTTTTGATTAATTTGAATGGATGGCGCTCGTATCTGCGCTTCAAATTAAATGAAAACACATTTAATAACCAAACAAAACTTCATTTATAAGGATTGATAATCGCTTATAAAGAATTTTAGGTGGAACGAACTTCACTTAGTCATCTAGTGCCTATTAACAAAAACATTTTGAATGTGCCGCTGCTTTAAAAAAATATAAAATTTATTATGGAATTATAATATGTTTGCAAGATATTTTCGTCAGTTATTATAAAATTTTTAAAATAAAATAAATCTTGTTCAATCAAATTTTATGCAATAATAAATTATATAATTTTACCACCTAAAAGTTGCTTTCCACAAGTAGAAGTTTTAAACTATTCAATATCGAAGAAATGCCTCTGAAATTTATACTGACCGATAAGTTGTTTAACCCTGGGACACCACTACGGTTGTACCCCAGCCTTTCTTAAAACTTTTTTTGTAATCTTTTTTTCGTTAATTTACTTTACGTTTATTAAACCAATTAAAACTCTTATTTACATGATAACTTGTCTTACCTAGACAACGTTTTGTTCGTATCGATTCGCTTGTCACTACTTGCTCGATTTGTTTTAATTTAAAATTAAAATAAATTGTTCCGTAAAATATACCTCTAGAATCGTCGCCTGATCTTAATACCTCTATTATTTACTGCAAACTTGATTTTCCCATAAAAATTTCAATACTCAACATTGTTTTTATTTATGATCATGATCATGAAAATACCATCTCGTATAAATTTTCGGAAAATGACGAACAGACGATAAGACGCATTTTCTATCGGTAATTTGGTAAAGTCTATGCATGTACAGGTGTTTCTGTTCAAGTAAAGGTGGTTTAATTTAAATTTTAGTAAATAGTATAATAGTAGTACAATACAGCCTGTGCAGGTAGTAAATAGTAGGTAGAAGAATAGTAATAATATATATTATATACCTCGCCTGGCAGTTGTTTGTTGTTCCAGAAAAAGACATCAAATTTGTGTAAAAAGTGAAATAATAATATTTTGACCGATACATCTTTCAAAAAAAACTTCAAGATGACTTTTTTCGTAAATCGACTGCTTATTTCAAAAATATAGACTTTTTTTAGAACATTGGCGTATTTTTTACTGTTAAAAAAATATTATTACCCCACTACTTGTAGTATGAAAACGAATTTAATGGTACCTAATAAAAAACAATACTCACCAGATTTTAAGAAAATTTGTTTTTAGTAGATTTTTTTTAAATATGTGCAACTTCAACACCTTGTATTTCTGATACGTTTACCGTTTTTTATTGATTCTCACATTATTAAAGGTTCCTCTTGGACCAGGTTGGTATATTATATTATAAATTATATTTTATTATAATAGTAATCTGACTAAAAATTTACAAATAATTATTTTTTTTCGGTTTACTTTGTCACGTGACGTTTTAAAGAAACATCCCCCCTCTTATATGTCAGCGTCACGGCAGCCCCAAAACAAATATAATTTTTGTCAAGTATTTTTTTAATAAGTTGATTAATATCAGCGAAGGGCCCCCCGTCTAAAACATTGCCAAGGGCCTCGCATTAAGTTGTTACGCCACTGTATATGAGCAACTAAATATGTCCGATAGATTACGACACCCACCCCCGAATCCTAGGCTAGGATTCCTAGCGGCCATTCCATAAAAATAACACTATGGGCCATTATTACCTATCTAAACGTTGGCGTCTTGAGTCTTTTATTTTGATTTAACCACAGATTCTGTTCTGCTAGGTGAATTAGGTAATTATGTTATGATATTCCTAGTTAATCGTTTTTAAGTTTTATTATAAGTTAGTATTTTTTAGTTTAGGTAGTTAGTTTGTTTTGCACTTTATCTAATATATGGTTTTGTAGCCGTTTGCGTTAGTGGTGGGTAGGTACAAAATGGAGGACATTAATTAGGTACTTTTTCAGTTTCTTCTTAAAATTATTTTTTATTTTCGGCAAACATTCTTTAACACATTAAAAATTAATGTTAAGACGCAGGGTAAATTTAAAGAATTAATTAAACAAAGGGTCAGAATTTGTCAATTGGATCACTAAAAACATGGAACAATCTTATGCTGAGGCAATAAGTCTTTGAGAGACTCAATGGTCGTGCATTTTTTTGTTAAAATTATTATCAAAGTTTTTGCGGTCCTAATTATAGTATATTGTTTACCGATAGTAAAATCATAGCAATTACTCCCGATGATGACAGATTCCGAGCCAGCCGATAGGCGAGTGAAGGAATTCATTGAGGGAGTAATTGCGATTCCACGCGAGGTAAAAATTACACTTTTTTGTCGAGTGGTGATAATTAAGGCTTAAACTGTACAATTTCTACCTCAATTATATATAGATAGAACAATATGCATCTTTAATACTTAAAACAAGACTAACCTCTATTTAAAAAAAAATGCAGATAAAACACTATAATTCTCAGGTGACGACAAGTTTTTTTGTACCCAAATTGTGTATTTTTAAAAGAAAGTGAGCATTTATAGAGTTTAGCTTAAATAACTTGAAGTAGGTAATACTAACTTAGTTAAACGTTAAAAAAAATGCAGATAGAACTCTATAATTCTCAGGTGACGTTGTGTTAAAATTATATGAATCTGAAGTTTAATTTAATTCTGACGTTTACATTCAAAGTCAATCACACTGTAGCGTCGTAATGGTAGCAAGAGGGAATGAAAATATACAGGGGAAGGAATAAGATTATACATAGCGCACAGTGGGCTAAAGAGCCAATTTAACGCGCAGAAATTATTTGGTTGAGTAATTCCTAGTTAATGTTAATTTTTTTGGTCTTATTAATGAAATTTTAATAAAAATTATTTTTTACTACCAATAGAAAAACAAATCCACAATATAATACTTTAACAACAAAAGTATATTTGTGTGATGGCAAAACTAAGATCTATAGTTTTAATGAGTAAATTACAAAAATATAAAATAAAACCTAATTTTTACGTATAACAGTATTTTATACAATAATATTACTTCTGAGCTTTCAGCGTTTTTCTATATTTTTGAAAAAAAAAAATTTTTTGAATTAAGTTTTTTCCGAGACACATTTATTTTTGTAAATGCATAGTCTGCTAAGTAATTTAAAACCAACTTTCTATTAAAATGCTTCAAACAAAAAATATTTGTGGCGCCTATTAGCACTTAATTTTAGATTTATTTAAAAGACAGAACAGTAGGCTATTAAAAAAACTTAACACAAAGTGTGAGCATGCGTGAAATTTTTTAAAACCTGTATTGTTCATACATACATCAATGCAGCGCTTTCTTTATTAGGGACAGTACAATAATTATAAAAACTTACCATTATTTGTTCCATCCATAACGTATGACAGTATTGAATACAATGATGATAAAAAATTAAAAATAAATTAGGAATTAATATTGTAAGAGAAGCAAAACCTTCACGCGCAATTTACCAACACAAAGCAAGTATAAATAATTATAATTCTTAAGCTTTGACTGCTTACCTGATAAAAATTCAACAGATTTGAAGATGGTAACATTATTTAATTTGCTACAGATATTAAAAAATTCAAAATTCACTAAATTTTGTCGAAATTTTCGCGCGCTCCCTAGAATACCGCGGTGGTGGCAAAAATATTCACTAATAGTTATCAGTAATTAATTCAAAATTATTTATTTGTATTAATAGCTTTTTAATTGATGGTTTCCATCCCCAACGTATGACAATATTTAATACAATGATATTTCTTGTGGGCTTCCAGCGTTTTTCTATATTAATTTTTTTTCCAAAATACATATATTTTTGTAAATGCGTAGTCTACTAAGTAATTTAAAACTAATTTTAAATTGAAATGCTTCAAACTAAAACAGCTCCGTTTGAATTAGGGATAATGTATTAACTGAAAAAAATAAACAAACCATATTTGTTGCGCCTACTAGCACTTGATTTAAGATTTATTTGAAAGACAAAACGGTAAGCTATTAAAAAAACCTAAACACAGAGTGTGACAGTGCGTGACATTTTTTAAAACCTTAATAATGTCCATACATAATATTAGAAATATTTGTTTAAAGGGCAAGGAAGCAAGGAATCTCATCCTGCAATATTAGTGAATCACTCTGTATACCTACTAAGTTATACTTGTCCATAGTAATATTTTCTATGTGTTAAACTCGCAACTCTTGTGACTCAGGTGATTCACTTGGGCGTCCGCACTTTGCACACCATCATCCGCTACGGTCTCCACCTCTACGATCTCCGACAGGAAGGCGGCATGTCGGCCGCCAATCAAAGCGAGGAGTGCAAGGTGTGGGAACGGAGAGGTTCCATAGCTTACTACACGGAAATGGGATTCGAACTTACCGCCTTGATCATCGACCTCCTCCATCACATCCACATGCTCTTCTGGAGCAACATCTTCCTTTCCATGGCCAGTTTAGTGATCTGCATGCAGATGAGGTATCTGTTCTACGAGATCCAGAGGAAGTACAAGAAGCACAGGAATTATTTGTGGGTCAGGAATCACCTGGAGCAAAAGTATGTTTACGTAATGTAAGGATTATGGTGTTATTGAAAGTTTTTGTTTGTTTTAGCTATCCAATGGCCACTGTAGAGGAGCTGACCGAAAATTCGGATAATTGCGCCATCTGTTGGGAGAAGATGGACTCGGCTAGGAAGTTGCCTTGTAACCATCTGTTTCACAAGTAAGTAAAGTAAATATACTTCTATAGTTGGTAGGAAACATCTTAAAAACAATACCATATTAAAATATGGTAATGTCATACAAAAAATCTAGGTTTATAAAGCAATCAGATATTTGTTAGTTAATAGAACTATAAACTTTCTTAATTCAAACATAGAATTTAGCAAGATACATACACCTTAAGATAGGATGGTGCGCATGTTGGGCGGGGCTTAAATACGTCACTTGATGAGTGTTTTTAAATCTTTAACGTGCTTTTTAATTATCTGCTGCTAAAATTCTTGTTTTTGCGATGCTGTTGGATGTTAACTTGCTCTATTTTTCGTTTAACTTATTGTGTTTGCTTTCGGTAAGGTTCGAATTACTTTTCAGTGTTCAAATTATTGTTATTGCGTTGTGTTAACCTGTTCTGTTTATTTATTATTGTTTTTGTGTTGCGGTGTGGCATATTTGGATGCAATTCGGACAACCAGTCCAAGAAAAACCCTTTAAATAAAAACATTAAATTTAATCGATTCCCGAAAAACTTTGATTTGTGCTAACAGTGGTTAAATGCCACAAAAAGAATAGACAATATTAACGTTAAGACCGCTTCTGTTTCCTAAAAACATTTTCTGGACAGTGACTATAAGTTTAATTTAAAACACCAACGCTTAAACTACAGCCCTAAATGTTATCAAGGACTAAAAGCATCTATTATCCATATTATAACACTTTCTTCAATATTAAGTTTAATAAAAACGCACTGTCCAGATATTTCTCTATTTTCTTTGATAATATTACTATTCGTGTATTCGCAAGGCAACTACTCGTCAAGTGACGTCATGCGCGGCACGGGAGCATCTAGCCCTAGAATTTAGAATTTAGAATGTTAAAATCATATTTAGCAACACTTACATTTTAATTATATTCCAAACAATGTAAGGAAACAATAAAAAATTTAAAATAAAAAAACACTTTAGTGTTATATTAAAATTTAGAATGTTAAATCATATCTAAAAACACTTACATTTCAATTATATTCCAAACAATGTAAGGAAACAATAAAAATTTTAAAATAAAAAAAATGTTACGGTTAAAAATACATTGTTTTACGAACATAATTTAGTTTTTTTTACCATTTTTCTGCATTTTTAGCACTTGCCTTCTCTCATGGCTGGAGCAGGACACATCCTGTCCCACTTGCCGCTTGGCTTTGAACATTCAGAGCACCAGGCGGGACCCTGTGGAACCTCCGGCAGAGGTCGCACAGCCGGTTCGCCGCCATCTTTCTTTCTTCCACTTCGACGGGTCTCGGTACGTGTCGTGGTTCCCGAGCTTTTCCGTCGAAATAAACCACTCGAACCTGCAGAGGCAGGAACCGGCTCCTGCCACCACGTCTCAGCTCGAAGCTATGGCAAGACAGGTAAGAGAATAAATCTCTTATTCTTTTTTACTTATAGGTGCCACAACTCATTTTTGAATGTTAAATCTATAATCTAGAATGTTAAACATACGTACATTAGAATGTTAAGCCATATTTAATAACGACAAACGTATTACAAAAATATATATTGACAATTTTAAGAGTTTTATAATGAATATTTTTTGGACATCATATTTGTTTTTGTGGATTTATATTTTTTTATTTCTAGGGAATTCTTTTGTTGTTTTTAGGTTCAAACTTTGTTTCCCCACCTGACAACCTCGATAATAATCGACGATCTGCGCGTGACTCGGTCAGTCGAGTTGACGGTTGAAAATGTCCTTGACGGCCGCCTGGTGGCGCCACACGTTTTCCGTGACGTAGACTTTACATCGCCTACGTCGACGACATACGCTGTGGCTTCAAACGAACCCGACAAAGAACGAAGCTGGCACGAACTCACAGCCACATCTGACAACGTTGCAGAAAAGTAAGTATTACATTATTTTTTAGTTAAAACCTTTTCAGGAGTGGTAATTTAATACCAAAATGTTTGATCTTGAAAACAAAATTATTAGAAAAAAACAAGGGAAACCTTAAAATCATTTCAAATTCCATGACTTTTCCAGTTTTTTCCCGACCAAAGTCCTGAAAATTACAGATATTCGAAAGAAATAAAAACAATTAGCTCCTGAAGTAGTTTATTTTTGTATAATTTATTTTAATTCCAATAATTGACTTGTTAAGATTTTATTACCGATTTCACACTACAAAATTTTATGTTTAATTTTTAAAACATACACATTTTCCAGGATTTTCAGGCAAGAGTTAACATGGTTGTCATGGCAAACACAATCGTTTCTATAGCAACCACCCAGTTTTAAACCTTTTATTTAAAGTAGATAGTATTTCCATTTGAATAGTTTGATAAATAAATAAAATCACTAGGCTGTGACAGCAAATTCAGCGGTGCCAATGTAGTAAAAATTAAACGTGTTTTAATTAACAATTTACTACAAACTAAAGTATCATAATATACTCTAAACCACATAAAAAGTAAATAAGCAACAACATAAATTGTTAATTTGTTGTTATACTGGCAAAATTAAGGTTAAGTGTTTATCTTAATTTGGCAGCAGGAAATTTAAAATAGCTTAAAAAAATGTTTTTAAGAGTACAATAATTTTGTAAGAGTAATAGGTGTCTATGTAAACTTGACCTCAAAAAACCGAACACTAGAAATTTGCCCCATTTTTAACATACTTGAAATAATTAAATTATTTCCTAGCAAACTGCTCAACTGCTTTTTATGATTTTTTTTAATGTTGACTCTTTCTTAACCATGTTATGGTAGAAATTTTTATTTTAGCCTATACAGGGTGCAAAAGTAACAAGAAGTTTTTTCCCCGAAATTTGTTACACCCTGTGGTACCATAACAGCGGATGTCAATTAAAGTCCTATCTTTTCTTAACATTTTGTTTTCTTTTCACGTTATTATCTCTGTTATACAGGGTGTTATGTAATTAATGTTATATATTAAAATGGGTTGTTCCTTAGGGTCCATAAAGAAGCACCTGAAACTTTTTTTTTCTAAATTCCAAAGTCTAAAAATAATTTATAATAACCTTTATCCTACCAAAAAGTACGCCACTGATCGACTAGGAACTTTAGGTTAATCTGGTGGATTTATTATGTTATGGTTGGTAACAGTGTTTCCAAAATCTCTCAAAAAAGTTGACAAACATTGTTTAAATTTATCTTAATTACAAAAATGACAAAATTAACAATGCAAATTGTCAATTTGGCGTTTTTATTAATTGTTGGTTATTTCATTTTTGTACTGAAGGTAAATTCAAACAAAATCTGCCAACTTTTATGACAGAATCTAGTGTATTTCTTTTAAATTTTAGGTTATGTTTTCAAATTGTAAATATCTTAACTAAGGGAAGTGCTTTTGGATTTATTTACACAAATTAAATGTTTAAAGTTTAACCTGTGAACTGGTCCCAATTTCATCTGAGTAAACAGAGAAAAAAACTGATGAAAAAATTAATTTTGTGGTTATGGATTTCAAATTTCAAAGGTACTAAATTTTCTAATCATTGCTTAAGCTAATAGCTGGATCAGTATATAAATACAGAAGGGTATTAGAGCTTTAAGGGCATAAAACTGTTGTATTTATTGAGTTTTTATTTATTAATTGCAAGAAAAATTTTTAGTAACAATTTTTTACATCTGGCAACGCATAGCTACGTCTAGTTGCGTCTTGACTCTCGAAGGGTAAGGATGCTTAAAGATAGTTACCGTAAAATGGGGTGAATGGGAACTAAAGGGGAAATCGGGACAAAAGTGGGAAAAAGTTTTCAAACATTTCTTACGTTAATTTAAATTGACAAATCAAAAATTTTTGTGGGTTTTCATGTACAGGAATGTTGTGTTTGCTAGTTAATAGCATTGAAAAATTGGTAACAGTGTAGCTGTCATTATGGGCTAACCTCAAATTGTGAGCAAGTTTTGTTATCGTATGGGTGCTCCGAAAAGCTTCATCTGGAAAACGTAAAAGGGGTAAATGAAATAAGCTGAAACTTTCGTGATTGTTGTCTTAGTTATTCATTTAAAATATAAAAAAGTCAAATTGTTGAAAATGTGTTCCACTTTTTCCTAATAATTTTATAAATTCAAAATGCGCAAAATTGAACCGCATTTGGGTGAATCGGAACAGGGAAAATTTTGAAATTTAGACACTTTTAAAGGTCTAAGGGGTCTATTCTGTAACTTTTTAGTTATAATTTTATAAACTCAAAATTTTTAGAATATGTATTTTATTTATTTTTATATATTTTATACGTTTTATAAATAATAAAAGAAAACATTTTTGAGTTATATATTAGTCTTTTTCTCCCCACCCAAGGTCTGAATCACATTATATGAATATTTCGCCGCTTTTAAAAAAAATATATTGTGTTCCTATTACACCTTTAACGCGTTAAATCGGCATACAAGGGAAAATAACATTGGTGTTCCTATATCGACTGATACCGGGGCAATAGGAACAAAGCACATTAAAATAAAAAATATATATTTTGGAAAAATCTATTATTTTCAAATTTTGGTTATAGGTAGCCCAGGACCCCATAGGACTTTTAGGCCCAAAACGGTCTTTAAAAAAATTACTATACGACCGCTGTGATTGATCAAATGTCAAAAAGTGTTCCCATTCACCCCATTTTACGGTACGCAGCAGCGTATACGATACAAACGTAGTAAAGTATCAAAGTGAATCTAAGTTTGCGGAATACCGGTAATCGGTAATAAATAAATAAATAAATAATAATCAAACAAGTGCAACAATTGCGAAAAGTGCGCCGTAAAATATAATAAAAAAAATCAATATCGATTCTACACGTGATAACTGGTTAACGCCGTAAAATAATAAAAAAACAATATAGATTCTACACGTGATATCCGTCCCAAGTGCAAAAGAGTGCAAATTGTGTGTGGTACCTCCCCCTAGACTGTCCTCAAGTGTTTGACCTGATTAAAAGGTGTGAGAGAGACGATCAGTTCCAATGAAAATTTTCTGGGCTACGACACGTGCGGCATACGATAAGGATCAATTTTAGCACACTGCCTGGCAATATCCCGAAGTCCAAGTCTGCATAAACTAGATAAGTAGCTACCAAATTGCATGAACATGACCACCCAATAATATTAATACTAGTTAATTCGAAATACGCAACCTTTAACTAACAATAATTCTTCAGGTAAAATTAATTAGTCGCAAACAATTTAGAAGATTCTCATGCAAATGAAACAGTAAAAAAAAACGATAAACACAAGGGCACATAAGAAGCCATTATAGTTATGATAAACATTAGGCAAAAGAAACCATCCTAAAGAAACTATTTATTTATGTTTACATCTATAGATTACGAAGACGTAAGGGGTCATAAATTAAGTAAAAACCGTTAAGTAAGCGTACGCACAGTGGGAAAAAATAAATAATTCGAGGGTCGACAATGGGGTAGTTAAATTTTTTCTGACCTATACTTTTTATGGTTTTATTCAAGGCGTTTAGTAATTTTAAACATTTTTGTGAAATCGGAATTTCAATTGAGTTTACCGTTTTCGAGATATTTACAAAAAAAAGTCTCCTTATTACGTCACTAGGCTATTGACAACGTTGCCAGCTTTTTCTATGGTGTTTAGTTTAAGATTCTTACGATAGATGGCGCCACGTTATAATATTTTAGTTTTAAAACTACTTGATCTAAAATTTTAGTTGAGGAGAAGAAGAAGAATTGATTTTTTGACGTTTCTTTTTTTCGGGTTATGTTTTTTTTTAAATTTAGATTATTGAAAATCAATGTTATTGTTATGTTATTTGTAATTGATATTAGATAAGTGATTTATTAATAACGGACTCCAAAGCAGAGGAATCTTGTGGAATGGTTGGTTACATTGAACATTGGAGCTTTTAAACAAATAAAGTAAGTACCTATAATTATAATCATATTTTGTCGTAAATGCATTTCATTAGTATAATGCCTAGTTCTTTATATTCTTTTAGATATATCTTGGACTTTAAAATATCAAACAGTAATAAGAAAGATAGGTACTTAATGAATTTGGTGACCATCTGTTTGAATAATTTTAATAAAAATGTCTATTTGTAGGCCCTGCAGTATCTTTACCTACCATGTACGTTATTGCAGCAATATTTAAACCAGAATTGTCGAAAAGTACAAAAATGTACTCTAGAGCATAGTATCTTCGAACAGTCCAAAAGTTTGTCATACATTTTTTAAATCTTACAAAAGGTTTTGATGCTCATCATCAGGGATGCAAGTTTTATAAAAACTATACACAAATATCATAAATACCATTGTTAACTTACATTTACTGTTATTTTTTGTAAATTTATTTCATTCATTTTCAGCTTTATTTTGCCACTTTTTTCTATGAAATATATTAAACTCTGCTTTAGACAGTTATTAGGTACTTATTTATTACATTTTATTAGGTTTCACACGGTGTTTCAATGTGTAAACCTATCAATAAAACTTTTACTTTCAGAATCTCTTCTTCTTCTTCTTTCACTCAACTGACAGTGACAGTATTTGTACATAACCTCTTCGGGTATTTTCTGACATAACCGAATGAAATCATTGACAAGACAACTTGACAACAGGGTAATTTTCAACCAATAGAAATCTTGGAATGTTGGTCACATGGTGGGGTTTGTGACGTCATAAAAATTTATATTTTTTGTAAATATCTCGAAAACGGTAAACTTAATTGAAATTCTGATTTCACAGAAATGTTTAATATTACAAAACGCCTTGAATAAAACCATAAAAAGTATAGGTCAGAAAAAATTTAACTACCCCATTCCGCGTCTTCCGTTCATAAATAAAGTAAAGCGTTCTAAGAATCACTGGGATCATGCACAGGGGGGAAAAATAATTCGAGGGTCGACAAATCCAGTA